CCCCAAAACCCCAAAACCCCAAAACCCCAAAACCCCTTGGACTAAAACATTAGTTGAACTGAAATATATTGTTAAAGAGTTATAAGAACTTATCTTCCCTGTCTCTTCTTCCTCCGAGGGTCTACCTTAGTGTTGTCCCTGTATACTTCCAAGAGGTAATCTCATCTCCGTTTGATGTCTGTAGTCGTCTTGGATAGAAGACGCCAATTAAATCTATATAAAGGGTTAGGTATTTGGAAGAAGAAGGTTTACCTATGCTTCATAAACAGTTTAGATAAAATTAGTTCCCAAGAACCATGTCCAAATTTGTGCAATAGGTCAAGTAAAAGTTTGTCTTCATCTTCAGTGAAATCATCATCTTCCAACAACTTTGAGAGGCTCTTTTTAGAGCGTTTGGCATCACATCCAATTGCACTTTTGAGATTGGCGGAAATAATAGATTCCGCTTTTTCGATTCTCTCTATATATCTATCACCGTTCTTGAGCTCAGTACATCTGGACCAGAAGACGTCAGAGTACTTCTCAAGCTCTTCTCTTGTCTTATTGGGCATCTCTTCGAGGATCATGTCGTAATCGTCCCTTCCATATCTTTCACATCATTTTATGTAGTGGAAGAAATCCTTTTTACTCCAGTTGGAGAATCCTTCTTGAAGTAGGGCTTCTTTTTCAGTCTCATCCTTTTTGGTAAATTTTGGGGGAGCCTTCTTCGCCTTCTTAGGGTCTTTCTGATATTTCTGGTAGTTGATAAGTTTAGCTTCGAGCTCATCGAGTCTATCGATATTAAAGAACTGGTGGTCATAGCCACCATTAGCGATTGCTCGCCATCCTCTGAGTCTCTTCTTGTCTTTTACCGGGACATTAAAAGCTTCTCTGTAGTATTTGTCAATGTCGTATCCGCCTGCCTTGGGTTTCCTCTCTCTTGAAGTTTGGATGAAGCCATGATTGCTAGGGAGTGCTTTGTTATTCTTATAATCTTTTCCTTCAAAGTAATACATGTCATGACCATCTTCCTCCTCGTTCCCGGTTAGTGAGATATTATTCAAGTTAAATTTAGTCTCAATCTTATCCATCTCCTTGTTGATTTCATTAGTCTTCTCGTTACCATATTGAAGAATTTTCTCGATGTCTTCTTCAGTGATTGCTTCGTCTTTGGACATGACAATTTCTCTAGCTCCACAGTGGATAGCATTCATCATGTCTTCTTTAGTGATTTTCTCCTTGCTTCCATGACCAAATTTGCCTTTTTGCATAATTAGGTGATCAACTTTGAGCTTTCTTGCTGCTCTTTTGACGATAACGTCTTCAACAGTACCTTCAGTGACGAACCTGTAGATTGTAACTTTCTTTTTCTGACCTATTCTGTGAGCTCTATCTATAGCTTGGAGATCTACTTGCGGGTTCCAGTCACTATCGAAGATTATCACAATATTAGCAGCGAAAAGATCGATTCCTAGTCCTCCCGCCCTAGTTGAAAGGATGAAGACTTTCTTGTCTGATTCTGGACTCTGAAAGTCCTCTATTCTAGTCTCTCTGTCCATTGCTGAGGTTTGACCATCAATTCTTCAATAAGGTATTGATTTGTAACGGAGATAATCATCAAGAATATCTAACAGTTTAGTCATTTGACTGAAGATAAGTACTTTTGAACCACTCTCCAAAATTTTCTTCAGAAGAACATCAAGAACTTTGAATTTCATTGAATTTTCGTACAAATGTGGCCCATCGAGATAAGGAGGCCCTGGCTCCATCCCATCGAACAAGTAAGGATGGTTGCAGCACTTCCTAAGTTGCATTAATACATTTAGCAATCGGAGTCGGTCTCCGGCTCCATTTACTACATCGATATTTTTGGTAAGAATTTGCTTGTACAACTTCTTTTGCATCTCAGACATTCCAAAATATAGGTAAATTTCCTTCTTTGAAGGTAGGGACTTCTCTACATCAACCTTCAGTCTTCTCAGCATGAATGGCCTCAACAACCTATGGATCTGCTTGATGATAGTGTTCTGATTATCAGGACCATCTTGATCAAACTGGAACAACTCATTGAACTCTTCTTCAGAGTCAAATAGCTTAGGCATCAAGAAATTAAGAAGTGCCCACAACTCTTTCAAATTGTTCTGAAGAGGAGTTCCAGTGAGCAGCAATCTATTTTCAGTGGAGAACTTTCTCAGTACTTGGGATAAGACTCATTGGTCGTTATTTAATTCTATGTGCTTCATCAAGGATCAGGTATTCATACTTCAACTTTTGTAGTGAAGACTTCTCTTTTATGATTACTTCATAAGTAGTGAGAATACAGTCAAAATTCTTCTCTTTCAGTTCTTTCCCCTTCATCATTTCTTTCTCTTCCTGGTTACCATAGAACTTGAATACTCTACATGATGGGAACCAGTTGTGAAGTTCCTTATTTCCATTTGTTGAGAGTGACCTTCGGGACAATGACGAGATGAAATGTTTTTCTTTTTAATTTCTCTTGTTCACTCTTTAAATTTTCAATCAATGCAAGGATACTGATGGATTCTATTGTCTTACCGAGGCCCATCTCATCAGCAAGGATGCCATTAAGTTTAGCTTCGTGTAAGCTATTTAGCCAGTTAAGTCAGTCTATCTGGTACTTTCTAAGTTTACCAAAAGCAAGGTTTGAAGGTTGGACCTCAATCTTTTCAATGACCCTCTCATTGTCGTATCCATCTTTTGAATCGGAGTTAACTTCCTCTTTTCCGTCTAGCGCATGCCTCTTGTTTGCAGCCACAGAGTTGTCTACATCTGTAATCATGTTAGAGGCCTGAGCCTTCTTCTCTTCTTCCCCAGTCAGTTCTCCGTTGTTAAGTTTTCGCAGATACTCAAAAATGTCTGGCTGTGTAAGAAGGAACTGGAGCTTTGATGTTTCTTTTCTTATGATGTCAGTGTTTTCTTCAGTAGGCCTACTGTCAGGATTAAGGGTGCAATCTGGTTCCTCTGCCTTAGAACTGTCAATAATCGCACCAATATTCTGTTGTTCCTGGTTCTCAGCGTTACTTCATATGGATTCGCCGACTTTTGGACTGTGTTTTACACTCTTAGTGTTTTCTATTTGCGACCTAACAGCTTTGGGACCAGAATCTTCACTTATTTGGCTGCTCTTAGGGATTACATTTGCTGTGTCTCTTTCCTTCTTATCCCCAGAAGAATTTACCTCGTAAGTTTTATAACCCTGACAAAGAGTCTCAGAAGGTGACTTGCCAGCAGATTTTTGAGGGTCAGAGGGATTACTACCAGTATTCACGTCAACTTGTGAGTCATTCCCGTTGGCTGTGACTGGAGGAGTGCCATTTTCACCTTCTTCAATTGCATTCAATTCCATATTAGTTTTACTTGTAATCATTTTAATAACACAAATATTTATTTAATTCTTACTCTTCAATAAACAGGGCAAACTCGGGGTTTTGGGGTTTTGGGGTTTTGGGGTTTTGGGGTTTTGGGG